GAGCTGTCCCCATTCCCCCGAGCTGTCCCCATTCCCCCGTCCTGTCCCCATTCCCTGTGCCCGTGGTGCCCGGGTCACTCACGGCATTCCCGGCCTCGGCGGCCAAGCGCGCGGCGTAGCGGGCGATGAGCCGGTGCTCCTCGTCCAGGCGGCCAGGGCTGTCCAGGGCACTGCAAAAGAACCCAGAGTGAGCTCAGGGTACTCCAAAACCACCCAGGGTGAGTCCAGGGCTGTCCAGGGCACTGCAAAAGAACCCAGAGTGAGCCCAGGGTGAGCCAGGGCTGTGCAGGGCACTGCAAAACAACCCAGGGTGAGCCAGGGCACTGCAAAAGAACCCAGAGTGAGCCCAGGGTGAGCCAGGGCTGTCCAGGGCACTGCAAAACACAACCCAGAGTGAGCCCAGAGTGAGCCAGGGCTGTGCGGGGCACTGCAAAATAACCCAGAGTGAGTCCAGGGTGAGCCAGGGCACTGCAAAATACAACCCAGAGTGAACTCAGGGTACTCTAAAACAACCCAGAGTGAGCCAGGGCTGTCCAGGGCCCTGCAAAACACAACCCAGGGTGAGCCCAGAATGAGCCAGGGCTGTCCAGGGCACTGCAAAATAACCCAGAGTGAGCCCAGGGTGAGCCAGGGCTGTGCAGGGCACTGCAAAACAACCCAGGGTGAGCCAGGGCACTGCAAAATACAACCCAGAGTGAGCCCAGGGTGAGCCAGGGCACTGCAAAACACAACCCAGAGGGAGCCAGGGCTGTGCAGGGCACTGCAAAACAACCCAGGGTGAACTCAGGGTACTCTAAAACCACCCAGGGTGAGCCAGGGCTGTCCAGGGCACTGCAAAATACAACCCAGAGTGAGCCCAGAGTGAGCCAGGGCTGTCCAGAGCACTGCAAAATAACCCAGGGTGAGCCAGGGCACTGCAAAACACAACCCAGAGTAAGCCAGGGCTGTGCAGGGCACTGCAAAACACAACCCAGGGTGAGCCAGAGCTGTGCAGGGCACTGGAAAACACAACCCAGGGTGAGCCAGGGCTGTGCAGGGCACTGCAAAACCCGACCAGAGCGATGCAGGACTCCTCAAAAGCAAGCCAGAGCCAGGCCAGGGCCAGGGGGTGTGCGGGCACAGGGACAGAGGGAAGAGCCTGGAATTGTCCCAATTCCCCTCCCACTCTGCCAGAGCACGGAGCTCTCCCCGGGCTCCTGCAGCTTCTCCGCAGCATCCCCGGCTCCAGCTGGGGTGCAGATCCCTCCT